ATATTTAAAAGTGTGGGGGTGTCTTGCTAAAGTTCTTTTGCCTGAACCTAAAAAGAGGAAAATAGGTTCTAAAACTGCTGACTGTGTGCTTATTGGATATGCTGAACATAGTGCTGCATATAGATTTCTTGTTTTGAAAAGTGAATGTGCTTGATTGCAATACTATAATTGAGACAAAGAATGCTGAGTTTTTTGAATAAATTTTATCCATTGTCTGATAAAATTTCTCATACACCTGTTGAAACGAATAGTGAAATTACCTCTAATGAGAAACCGAGAAGGAGCAAAAGGCCTAGGAAAGAATATTTTTCTTATGGAAATGATTTTTAAACTTTTCTTCTCGATAATGAACCATCAAATTATTTTGAAGCTATATCTTCTTCAGAAGCTAATTATTGGAAAGAGGCAATAAAAGTTGAAATTGATTCTATTATGAAAAATAATACATGGATTTTAACTGACTTACCTCCTAGTGCAAATTCTATTGGTTGTAAATGGATTTTCAAAAAGAAATTTAATCCCGATGGTTCTTTAGATAAATATAAAGCTCGGTTAGTAGCAAAAGATTTTTCTCAAAAACAAAATATAGATTATATTGATACATTTGCACCAGTGACTAGAATTTCTTCTATTCGAGTTTTAATTGCCTTAGCTTCAATCCATAAGCTTTTTATCCACCACATGGATGTCAAAACTACTTTTTTAAATGGTGATTTAGAAGAAGAAATTTACATGGTTCAACTTGAGGGCTGTGTCATTCCTGGACAAGAAAATAGAGTTTGTAAATTAGTTAAATCTCTTTATGGCCTTAAACAAGCTCCTAAGCAGTTGTATGAGAAATTTGAACAAGTCTTACTGAGAGACTGTTTTTCTTCAGTGGGGGTGGATAAATGTATTTATACTAAAATGGTAGACAATGATTATATGATAATATGTCTCTATGTTGATGATATGCTTATACTTGGTACAAGTTTAAATATTGTGCAAAGTACTAAATTATTTTTATCTGTAAATTTTGATATGAAAGATCTGGGTGAAGTAAATACAATATTGGGAGTTAAAGTTATAAGGAGTGAAGATGGAATAATTTTGTCACAAGAACATTATGTTGAGAGACTTATTAAGAAGTTTGAATATTTTAATGTCACATCTGTGAGCACTCCTTTTTATGCTACCTCTCAACTAAAAAAGAATAATGGTGACCCAGTTGCTCAGTCTAAATATGCTCAGATTATTGGGAATCTGATGCATTTAATGAATTTTACAAGGCCTGATATAGCCTATGTTGTGCGTAGACAGAGTAGATATACTCATAATCCCAACAGAGAGCATTGGTCTGCATTAGATAGACTAATGAAATATTTGAGAGGAACCATGAATTATGGTATCCTATATAGTGGATTTCCTTCTACCTTAGAAGGGTACAGCGATGCAAATCAGAACTCTGATTCAGATGAGACAAAATCCACTAGTGGTTATGTATTCACCCTTGGTGGTAGTGCAATATCGTGAAAATCAGCTAAACAGACGATCATTGCTAGATCGACTATGGAATCAGAGTTTGTAGCTCTGGAGTTAGCTGGTTCTGAGGCTGAGTGGCTAAGAAACTTCTTAGCTAATGTCCCTTTAATAAAAGACGTATTGCCTCATGTGTCTATACACTGTGATTGCCAAGCGGCAATAGCTATAGTAAAGAATAAATCTTATAATTGTAAAAGTAGACACATGAAATTGAGACATGATGTCATAAAGCAGCTTCTGAGAGATGGAATAATTTCCATTGATTATGTGAAGTCAGAAATTAATTTGGCCGATCATCTGACTAAACCTGTGGGAAGAAAATTAATTCTTCAAACCTCAAAAGTAATGGGTTAAGGCCGACATTTTGTGAATAGAGATGGTAACCCAACCTATGTGATTGGAGATCCCATGAAGTAGGTTCATATGGGTAATAACAAGTCGATATTGGCACTGATGCACTAAAAGAGAGTGCTTGACTGCTACTAATTGAGAGGTTGAGTTATCACTCTTAATGAAATTCATAGTCCTCATGGATGGTGTATTTAAAAGCTATACACTTGATGAATTCACCTATATGATAGTGGAGTGGGCCGCTCCTATGAGATTTTGGCCTAGTCTCTAGAGCTCTCATGAATAACCAGGCACGCGCATGGCCTATTGGGCACAAAACCGCGTCGAGCAGCAAAATTGTGAGGGTCAAAATATGATTGATAAAATCTCTGACTTACAACAAGAATTATTGGTTCATAGAAATATTATATTTCACCAGTAATTCTGTAAGTTAAATTTTATTGGTCTAAGTTTGGTTCATAGTCCAGAAGACACCAAACCTATTATATTTAGACCATGCGTATTCAGCAAGTTTTACTCTTCTATCCATTACTTTTATTTTGTACAAAGAATTGAAATAGTGGAGGACTGTGGTAGTATTTCAATATTTTTGTGGACAAGTGGCTACATAAATTGTTATGTGGCTTGATCTCCTTGATGTTATAGCCAAGTGTATAGAGCCCCTACCAAATGTCTCCTTGCATGGAAAGTTTTTGACAAGTAGATGAACACTTGTCATTTTCTTACACAAATCTTACAACTATAAATACTCACTTTCTATACCATCCGAAAACATACCAACAAATATTTAGTTCTCTCATGATTACTAATGATTACTAATCATCACTACAAGCCTTGTCATTTTCAATTATTCCTAGCCTTTTGTGTGTTCCAATTTCTTTTATAACCTGTGTTTTATTTCCTCATTCCAAACTTGCTGGTATTATTTAATTTAGCTGATTCCTGTATCCTCTAAATAAATAGAGATGGACTTGTTTAATCCTGGGGAAACATTTCACATTGCTGAAACAGTTTCTTAGGACAGTGCCTAGCACGACTCAAGCCAATTCGTGTATATGCTTATAAATAATATTATTGCAGTATTATTATCGTTATTTTCCGGTGTCATTTCCGTACATCCTAAACCCGCGGCACCTTTGATGACGTAAACCTAAATTGAATCCTAAACTTAAACAAAGACACGAATAACCATAAGTAACATTGGTATAAAAGATTTCTAAATAGAATCCTAAAAACCGGAAAAGGTAATACACCGCAATTCTTAGGGAAAATCCTAAACATGTAAAGAATCATAAACAAAGAAAATGGTAATATACGGTAGTTTTTGTTTTTTTTTCCAAAAAAATTATTACTTATTATATACAATTACAATTATATCCAATGTAAATATTTATTTTTAAAGGGTAAAAAAGGCTAACGACATTTCGATAGTACCTTCGTGCTATATATATATATATATATATATATATATATATATATATATATATGATAGGTTAAACTCTCATCATAATCATTGCATTCTGCACATCAAATTTGTGAAACCACAAGTCTATTAAGTTCGAAAATAATCCATGGAAGAAATGCTCAAAAAGTTACGCTTGAAACTTTTTGTTTTTTGTTAGGTGTTCAATACTTGCTTTTGAGTCCGATTAATTCAAATTCATGCCGAAAATTATCAGTCTAGGGGTAAAATATTCCTAGCAAAAACAACTTCGTCCATAGAGTTTAAATTTGAAACTTGATAAAAAAAAAAAAAATACTTTCATCGCAATATTTGATGGTTGTTTGAAAAATATTCTAACGGCCTTGATTAGCGGCTAGATTCACTTTTGAGGAAGAGACATAGCGAAGCCTTTGGGAGTAGAAAATGTGTACATGTGTCAGTGGAAGGTACGAAGTAGCAATGAAGTTGGAGCCCCAGAAACTACTATTATTTATGCTTCCTCCACCTCATTTCTTTTCTAACCTTTCCCTTTTTTATTCCACTTAAATTATATAGTTGTATAAACTATCAGCTTGTTTGGGTGGTTGTTATCCATCATTTTATAATGTATTGTATTGTATTGTACTGTACTGTATGATTTTATAAACCATAATGTTTGGATAGATTATATTGGTTGTTGTTAAATAATATTTGTTGTTTGGTTTGACTGTATCGTACTATACTGTAACTCATAAGTTTATTAAAATTCTCTCAATTATTTAATATTAAATTTATCAAGAATTACACACAAAATAATTTAAGAAAATCCCTTTCTAAGAAATTATCACCAAAAGTGTCTTATAAACAAATTAAGCTATTAAATTTATGCAAATTCTAACAAAATTAGTGGGAACAAAATTAGCGATTTTACGTTGGAGTTGGAAGCGGCAAAAGTTCTGGAAAAAAGGGACGAAGACAAAATAGGTTATATGTGGGAGATTTGGAGTTAAAATAAAAAAAAGATAAAGGGTAAAATAGAATTATGGAATAATAAGTTAGGCAATAATTGGGAAGAAAAATAGGAAACAATCCCACCACAGCAAATGGGTAGTTTCAAAAAATGAGACTTTTCATTGTTCCAAAATAATGAATTTAACAATACAATACAACTAATTTTAATGAAACAATCAAAACAAATATTGTTTTGGGATAACAATACAATACATAGTACTCCCTCCGTTCATTTTTACTTGTCCAATATTCTAAAAATAAATTTTCACTTTTACTTATCACTTTTTGCATATGTAGAGAAGATAATTTCTTTTTTCTTGTTATACTCACTATATTAATTACTCATTTCAAATCATTTTCTCAAATTCATTAAAAATAGCATCAATTAATATGGGTATTAAGGTAAATTATGCACCCCATTTATTACCTTAAAGGGTATACAAAGTTCATAGTGTACAAGTAAAAGTGAACAGGAACGGGAAGAGTGCGTTCTTATTATTTACACTATCAATGTATTTTACTTTGTAACAATAGAATAATTACTGTTTCATCAAATTATCACTACAATATTTATGAGAAAGTTTTACCTATAATCAAAGAGCGTGATTGTGTAGATACAGTCAATACATAAAACTTAAAAAATCTTTTTTTATCTGGTACCCACTTCCCACACTTTCATTTTTGTCTTTTTTGGTTCCCTTTTGTTGTAAACTTGCCCATTTTTATTTGCTTCAGTCAACATTTGCTATTTTAAGTTCATAAAGATTGGACCTTTGGCTGTTTATGTGTATGTTCTCATTAATTAGTTTCAGGAATCATTTTATTACCTCATTATTATTAAGTGGGTCTTAGCTCTAGACATCAAATCAAATCTATTATTAGTGTTGCATTTGGCACATCTGTTAGGTTTCTGGCACAAATCAACAACACCCTTTTTCTTGCTGGACTTTATAATTTTTGCAAGTCCAAATCAAAGTCAAATTGAACACATCTTTTTTGAAAGTTGAGTCTCTATTGGAAAAAGTTCAGAATTTCTCCTCTACTTGGTTCTTAATGTAAAAAGATTTAAGTAGAGGACCATGCAAGAAAGTTTTGATTTTTATGTAATTTGAATTGTGGGAAAGGTCAATTTGAAATTTTATGGAAGAAGATAACAAAGAACTTCGGTCATTGGCCTTGACACCAACATGGTCTGTTGCTTCTGTATTGACTATATTTGTTGCTGTTTCACTCCTTGTCGAGCGATCCATTCACCGTTTATCTAATGTAAGCACAATTCTCCTTTGATTTCTACCCTTTTTCACTTTACTAGTTTTGTTTGTTTTATTGGAACATTGCTCTAAGACTATCTTTTGTTTGATTTTTGTGCTAGTTCTTGGTCATATACAAATTTGCTTTTGATTACTCAAGCTGCTTAAAAATTGATTATAGATTGAGGAACTTATCCTAGATTTGTGCTCTTGGATAGTTGCTCATATTTAACAAGCTCCATTTTAAATTCCAAGTGGAAAGAGAAATATAGGGAACAAATGCACAACTTCTTTCTTTTCAAGATCATAATATTTGTTGAAATAGTTTTGTTGTATTTGGTTGATTATGTTTCTTGTAGCACCAATGATTATGTCTTTAAAAACTAACTACTTAGTTTTTGTTACTTTCTCATGTCAGTGGTTGAAGAAAACCAATAGAAAGCCATTGTTTGCAGCTGTGGAGAAAATGAAAGAAGGTACTCTATGTTGAAAAAAGTTGGAAAAGACTTTGAAATTTGGAGTCCTCTCATTCCAGCCCCCAAAGCATTGCTTTTCCTGTCATAACCGTTTTCAATGTTTGGTATTACAGAGTTGATGCTTCTTGGATTCATTTCTCTCCTACTCACGGCAACTTCCAGCATCATATCTAGTACTTGCATACCGTCAAAGTTTTACAATAATGTATTTGCTCCATGTACAAAGTCTGAAGTTGATGAAGAAATGGAGAATAAAGATTTGAAGGAGCGTAAACTTTTGATGGCTTTTACTCTTCAGAGGAGAGTATTAAATACCTTCAATCGAAACACCTGTGGAGCGGTAAATTTGATTTTCCATGTGGCATATTAGACCATTATTTCCATATCTTGTTCGATTTTATTCCTGTTGCCATAATATGGACCTACAACTGATTATCTTACAAAAAGGAAATAACTCTAAGTTTTCTAAAATTGTTTCTGAAGTAGTAGTGTCAATAATCTGAGTTAACATCTTGTCAGAATCACGAACCATTTGTATCATATGAAGGCCTAGAGCAGCTGCACCGCTTCATCTTCGTCATGGCCATTACTCATATATCTTACAGCTGCTTGACAATGCTGCTGGCGATTGTTAAGGTAGTATTCTCTATATTACTTGAACTTGCTAAACAAATGCACATTGTGTTGATGAAATCTTTAAAGTCCAGTTGTTTTTTTTGTATATGTTAATCTAATTGTTCATGCTTTTCCGAGTGGCTAGTTTGATTGGACGTAAAAGTAATTTGTGATGTATTGATCTGGCTTCCGAAGTCTACAGTCATATATGATGGTAATACAATACATCCTCACTTATTTCCCCTTCACTTAGTACCTTGTGGACAGAAGATTTCTGCTTGAGTTCCTGATATTCTTAGGGATTGCTTGGTTAAACGTTTAGGAAAGATATACTCCTCATAAAATAATAAAATATTTGGTTAGAGGGATTAGAAAAAATAATCCCCACATAACTAATGTAGCGCTTGGTTGGTCGTTTAAGAAAATGTAATCCCTGCATTACTAATGCAGCTTTTGATTTGCTGTGTTAAAGCATAATACTCACATTAAGTTATGTTGGAATCTCTGTAATAATATGCAGGAGAGAATCTGAAATAAGAATATGTGCATTATCAATACTGAGATATAATGTATTTATTCTATGTCTTAAGCCTGGTTCTTTTTGCTAATATTGGTTATGAGGAAATATGTCCATTCAAAAGTTGCACTGGTCTACAAATATGTAACAATATCTGTTTGAACATTGTCCTCATTTGTCAACAAGATTTGCTGCTCTTATAACGACATTTAAGCATATCATCTCTAGCAGTTTCATTCACTCTGCAGCCGAGCTCGTCTTTGATTTTACATTAGGTGAACAACCGATTGTCTATATTGAAATTGGTGGATGTCATGCCATATTGGCTATACTCCAGGGTTTCATTTCTTTATCACTTCCTAATTGTGTCAGCTACTAGCCATTTCCTTGCAGAAGCAGCCATTTATGTCCTGTGAAATACCTCATTTTGGTCTTTATCCTCATTATTATCACTGCTCTCTTCTTGTTTTCTTCTGTGTTTCCTCTTCACATGTTCTTCATTGCTAGCTGACTGATAAGTGAAAATTTGGCCAGATCCACAGTTGGAGGAAGTGGGAAGATCAAGCTCAAATGGACAGACATGATGTGCTAACTGGTAAGCTATACTTGCATGTGATTTGTCAAAAAGTAATCTTGTTCTCTAGCTTCTTCCATTTGTGGTTTCCTTGTAATCATTGTGGATAAAAGGGTAAGGAAAATCTGCTGGTTTTAAATTCTTATTTTAACAAGAGATGCAATTTTAAAATGTGTTCAGAACTAGAAAGCAAAAGCCTTTGTATAATTTATCTAAAAGGAATTATAAGGCCTTTGTACTAGAAAGATAGTCAGCTGTGTCAAGAACCATGCATGTGTTATGATGGAGATGGAGCAAGGCAAATTAGCAGTTTAATGTACGACCCTTTGTACTGTAAGTATAAGTTGGATTCTGATAACCCAAATCTTCAGAGACTCTACTCACTCTTGAGAATGTACATGCATAAGCTGATGTCTAAAGTGAGTATTTGGAGACAAGCCGAAGGTTAAAGAAAGCTGATGACTTTCCCTCGACTAGGTGAAGTTCTCCTTTTTCTAATTTAAGATCAACTAAAGAAGATCATCAAGGGTTTCATGTAACTGTAGAAGGGTGAACTGGTTCTCTCACCGTCTTTTTATAAACCCTTGTATTCAGTAGGCCTAGATCCAAGTTTAAAGATACATCTTCATATCGTTATAAGAATTGAAGCAAGCTGGATAAAGGCCATTACAGATTTGATTAGGCCAAAGCAGAGAGCCAGTGTTATTAAAGTTGGAAAATCATACTGAGGTTTGGGTTAATCTACCTACAGCTAGTGTCCAAGATCAGTGCCTTCCAGTTAATAGTATATGTGGTAACATGCTCTATACTTGAGAATAGTGGTGGCAAAATGGTTAAAAAAAAACAGTTAACCACCCATATTACCCACTAAAAAATGGGTTGGATAATGAACATTTTAAAAATGGGTCAAATATGGATAAAAACCATATTATCCATTTAGAAAATGGATAGCCAATGGATAATTAATGAGTTTAACTTTTACATTTGTAAAACCTCAAATTGGGGGTTCCTCAAGTTTGGGAGACTAGGAATTCAAAGTCATGGATAATATGGTTACCCATATTATCCGCCGGTTAACCCGTTTTTTATCCGTATTAAATATGGGTCGGGTCGGATAATTTATCCGTTTTTTTCATTACCCGTTTTCGACCCGCCCGTTTGCCACTCCTACTTGAGAGTTCTTCACAGGACAAGGTATGTGTCTAAATTGGACACTGCTTGGACTTGCGGATCAAGTAAGATCGGATAGAGGATTGGTTATTATCTCAGATTTTTCTCCTTCACTTTGCTTCTATGCTTCTGTTTATCTGTATTTATACTTCAGTACCTGCTTGGTATTCATTGAAGAGATCAGCGATTTATTCTTCTAGAAATATGTCTTAAAACCTCAATTTGTGCCCCTTTGAATAGCTTAATGGGGAGAACCATCAGGCTCTTTATCTTTGATAAAACTGAAAAAAAGCTAGTAAAATAAACTGAATTTTTTTCCATTGCAGAAATTTCTAGAGCCAAGACATTCCGAAGGCAGTCGACTTTTGTCAGAGTTCACACATCAAGTCCACTTGCCAGGAATCATTTTCTTGTTTGGGTGGTTAGTTCTCTTCTTACATATTTCATACTAGCCCTCACATAATTTCATTCTCCAAAATATATAAATAAAAGTGTTTCCTCTTTAATAGTTAAGCTTTTGGATGAGGTGGTTCACACAATTATGTGGTATCAGAGTAGTTCTCTGGATTTGAATCTAGCCACCACTTATTTCCAAAGTATCTCACGTGCTTGGGCTTGGCTCAAGAAAAAGGTGGCAAAGTTGCAGACTTTAAAATGCAAATAAAGAAAAAAGAGGCCACGTTGCCGACCTAAAATAAATAAGTAGGTGTATTCCTCTCCAACAACTTAAGTTTTCTAGATGAGGCATTTCACACAATTCAACAAATTTGATTAACGAGTGATTTAATTAATCAATATCTATATCATTTCTCTCGTGAAACAAATTAACAACGGATTTTAGTTAATTGGTTTTTTTTAAATAGGTAAATATACAAGCCTTAAACTTTTCAAAATTATAGTATTTCGTTTTGAGGATTTTGTTATTATCTTTTTGACGACAATTTTTTTACATTTTATTTTATTTTTGGATACTAGGTTTTCTAGTTAAGGTATTAAATTGAAAGTCAAGTCCGAAAGAGGGCATGTGCAAATCTAACCAAAGGAGCTCGTTAAGTGCGAAAGAGGAGTTTGAGTGCTTAGATTACTGTAAAAACATATAAGGGCTTGCATGATACTATGAACTTAAGCTTGTATCATCATTTTCCCTTTAAATTGTGATTTCCAATCTTCAAATTGTCTATTTATTAGTATTTTCTTGATTAAAGTTTTTTTGGCTGTGATTTCCCTCTCTATGGGTACTTCTCTTGACAAGCATTACTATGTTTAATTAAATAAATTTTCTTTTAAAACACATTTGTGTATCTAAGTGATAAATGCTTTTTAAGACATTTCATTCTTCATTTTCCTATCTGCTGTCAATCAATAATATTTCAGTTGCAATCAATGGTTAACAAGAGGCGTAGTGATGACCTATGTTGCTCGGACTCTCCGAAAATGTGGCCAGATACGTGTCGGATCCTCAAAAAGTAGTGCATTTTTGAAGGATCCGACACGGGTGCGGCTACATTTTGGAGAGTCCGCGCAACATAGGTGATGACAATACCAATCTAGCAACACAATATACATCCAATAATGTCCACCAATATTTGTTGCAATGTATCTAAAGTTACTTGTATTGGCTTACTCTCTTTCTTTTTCTTTTTCTTTTAAGATTGGCATATAACCCTTTACTGGGTTGTTGTTGTATTGGCATATAACCCTTGTATATTTCTATCAAATTTTGCAGACATGTTTCTTTCGGCAGTTTGGCCGCTCAGTTGTTCGTGCCGATTACCTTACTCTACGCAAGGGTTTTATCACGGTATGGATCCAAGACAACTTGTAAAGCCATGTAGTGAAAAAAGTCGGTGAGATTTGATGTTGCAGGCATGCATTTGTCTGCATGCAAGAGGGAAGAGAGAGAACTTGAAACATTTTCAAGCAAGAACCGCTTCCCTTTAATAACAAGGAAAAAAAAGAACTAATCACTTGCAAAAGATGAAGTAAAATATTCTAATGCTTTTGAAGGCAGTCTTGCAGAGCAACTTAAAATTCAAAAAGTAGTTAGGATGTGGAATTTCTTAGTCTAGGTTTGAGGAAATTACCAGGTCAAAAAAGGACTCAGTCCGATGATTAGAAGAAGCAGTCATAGCACAGTGTAATGAGCAGGAAATTTCAAATAGATGATAAACAACAACAACAACAATAACTACGCCTCAGCCCCAAACAAAGTTGGGGTCAGCAATATGAATCCTCATTTCTTTCGTTATTATCGTCATCATGCCAAAATAAAATATGAGTAGTAGTGAACATAAGTTTATATATATATATATATATATATATATATAAATAATGGTAATAATAATAATAATACAATTGATGCACACTATCAAGAATGGAACACTTCCTTTCATAGCTAGACATGAAACTTACCCTGTGCTCGTTTATCCAAAAGATTAGAATGCTCTATAACAAGTCCGGTTCATTACGAACTCTATTTTAGGGATCTTTTCTGAGTTATCTTCATGTTTGTATCACTGATTTTCTTTTCCATCACAAGAGTGTCTCTTGATATGATAGAGATTTCTGTTATAGATTACTAGTTACGACCTTTCTCCTCTTATTCATGGCAGAATCACAACCTTACATCAAACTATGATTTTCACAGCTATATGATTCGCTCCATGGAAGAAGAATTTCAAAGAATAGTTGGTGTAAGGTAAGCATATAAAGTACTCCTTTCGCATTTTTCATCCTCTTTTTTGACTAGGCAGAGAGTTAAAAAGTTGTTTAAAGAGAAGTGGTCCCCAATGTGGAGAGAAGTTGATTTTGATTAGTTCTAAGATTTGATGAAAAAGTGGATCTCATATAATACAACCATCTTTCTTTCTTTCCATAGTAGTTTCTTGATTGAAACTCTGTCATAACTGTTGTGTCATATATTTGTAGTGGCCCTCTGTGGGGATTCGTGGTGGGTTTTATGCTGTTCAACGTGAAAGGTACTGCGTCTTCCAATTCTTGGTTTTTTGTCATTAGATAAGCTTGCATTTCTGCTTCCCAATAGTTGTTGTAAATGAATGACCAATTGAACTTCAACATGCAGGATCAAATCTATATTTCTGGATAGCGTTAATTCCTGTCATTGTAAGTGCTTCCACTGCAATTCTATTTTGGGACTCTTCATAAATGCATGAATATGTTTGTGTATATAAAAGTAAAAACCATGCCTATTTCCTTTTTCTCTTATTCCTTCTGGAGTAGTGGAGGACTTGACTGTGACCCTGAACGAGTCGTCTTTCTTAATTTAGGACTTGTAGTGGGTACCAGCATATCAGTTGCACAATTTCTTTTTTCAGGAGATACACTTGGATTAAGCCCATCAGCCACGTAATGTTTATTTCCCCCAATGAGAGATATCGAAAGAAAAAAGAAAGTTAACTGGGATAAAAGAGGACTATGGTTGAGTTAAAATACATATATGTGATAGAACATATGCTTGCTTTAGCTAGAGGGTGAAAATAATCTGCGGTACTGTAGCCCAAACATTAATTTCCCCTCCTTGGGATAGTAAGATATTTTTCTCTTTCCTTACATTCTGAATTATTTGTATATTAACTTATGGACGTGATAATATGATAGAGATAGTCGTTCACTTGTGCTTCTGTGCAGCTTGTCCTGCTCGTGGGTACAAAACTGCAGCATGTAATCGCAACCTTGGCATTGGAGAGTGCTGGATTTACTGGCTCATTCTCAAGGGCAAAGTTAAAACCACGAGATGAACTTTTCTGGTTCAAGAAACCAGAATTACTTTTGTCCTTGATTCATTTTGTCCTTTTTCAGGTTTTTATTTTCATACTTCAATTGTTAATTGTTTTGACTATCTACTAATATACTTTAATGATTATATACTCTTAACTTGTTTTTGCATGCTTATTCTTGCAGAATGCATTTGAGCTAGCTTCATTTTTTTGGTTCTGGGTATTCACTGTTCCCTTTCTTGTAGCTAAATTTTTTCTCACTGTGAACGTTATGTTTAATACCTGGTCAAAGCATTTCCCTTTTAACTGTATTAATATTCTCGATCTTTAGCATTTGACATTGTCAAATTTTCTGCAACTACTAATAATTGTTTCTTTATAACTCAAATCCTTTCTTTAAGTTGGATGAAACAATGTTTTCTCCCTTAAATAATTGCTTTAACATTGAGGACATTTTTCCCTTCACCTGTGGATCTCGCTAATACAATCTCCTATAGTTTTACTAATAGAAGTGTGCATACAGTTCTGGAACACTGGGTTGAACATCCGTTCTTTTTTCCACTTTTTGTTGTTATTTGCTCAACAAGAAAACTCAAATTCTCCTCTTTTTTTTTTTTTTAAGTCAAAAATATTCTTTTTCTTCTGTATATATAACCCTTACAACAACAACAACATACCCAGTATAATCTCACATAGTGGGGTCTGGGGAGGGTAGTGTGTACGCAGACCTTACCCCTACCTTATGGAGGTAGAGTTGTATCCAATAGACCCTCGGCTCAGGAAAGTACAGGTATCACAATAATAACAAGAAAACAAAGCAGGACAACACCGAGAAGCCATGTTAAAGCAGCATACACAACAAGATAGTAAGATGATCGAAATGCAAAAAAAAAAGAAAGAAAAACGACAGGTATTCAAAGAAACCTAATACCAACCAAATGCGAGAGTACATACTAACTCTACTAGTGTGAATAATCTAAACTACCTAACCCTCTAATCCTCGACCTCCACACCTTCCTATCTAGGGTCATGTATTGGGTCAGCTGAAACTGCACCATGTCATGCCTAATCACCTCACCCCAACTCTTCTTTGGCCTACCTCTACCTCTCCTAAGGCCCTCCAATGTTAACCTCTCATACTTCCTTACCGGGCCGTCTGTGCTTCTCTTCCTCACATGTCCAAATCATCTAAGCCATGCTTCCCGCATCTTGTCCTCAATAGGGGCCACACCCACCTTGTCCCGGATAACTTCATTCCTAATCCTATCTAACTTGGTGTGCCCGCACATCCATCTCAGCCTCTTCATCTCTGCTACCTTCATCTTCTAGACATGGGAGCTCTTGACTGGCCAACACTCAGCCCCATACAACATAGCCGGTCTCACCATCGCTATATAAAACATACATTTAAGTTTTGGTGGTACCTTCTTGTCACACAAAACACCGGAAGCAAGTCTCCATTTCATCCATCCCGCCCCAATACGATGTAACATTTTCATCAATCTCCCCATCCCCCTGTATAATAAGACCCAAGGTACTTAAAACTTCCCCTCCTAGGGATGACTTGTGAATCTAGCCTCACCTCTCCTTCCATTCCCTGAGTAGAACCACTAAACTTACACTCCAAGTATTCTGTCTTGGTTCTGCTCCGCTTGAAACCTTTAGACTCCAGGGTTTGTCTCCACACCTCTAACCCCGTGTTAATACCGTCTCACGTCTCGTCAATCAAAACAATATCGTCTGCAAATAACATGCACCAGGCGCCTCTCCTTGGATGTGGTGAGTCAGTACGTCCATCGCCAGGGCAAACAAAAAAGGGCTGAGTGCCGACCCCTGATGCAACCCCATCATGACCAGAAAATGGTCCGAGACCCTTCCCACTCTCCTCACTTAGGTCTTCGCTCTATCATACATGTCTTTAATCACCATAATATAGGCCATAATATAGGCCATAATATAGGCCACAGGTACCCCTCTAGCCTCCAAAGATCTCCACAAAACCTCCATCGGGACTTTATCGTAAGCCGTTTCTAAGTCGATGAACACTATATGCAAGTCCCTCTTCCTCTCTCTATATTGTTCCATTAATCTCCTAACAAGGTGAATAGCTTTCGTAGTCGAACGCTCCGGCATAAACCCAAATTGGTTCTCGGAAATAGACACACTTTTCCCCACCCTTAGCTCCACCACCCTCTCTCACACCTTCATAGTATGACTAAGTAGCTTAATACCCGGATAATTGTTGCAATTTTGGATATCACCCTTATTTTTGTACAACGGAACCATCGTGCTCCATCTCCACTCTCCGGGCATCTTTTTCGTCCTAAATAACCTAGTGAGCCACTCCAAGCCCACTATGCCCACACTCTTCCAATACTCCATCGTGATTTCATCTGGCCTGTCGCTCTGCCCCTGTCGCTCTGCCCCTGCTCAACTTACGCATAGCCCCCACAACCTCCTCAACTCTAATCCGCATGCAATACCCAAAGTCACAACGACTTTCAGAGGATCCCAAATCACCCAGAACAATGTCTCTGTCCCCCTCCTCGTTCAAGAGACTATGGAAGTAAGTCTGCCATCTCCGACGGATATGCGCCTCATCCAACAAAACTCTACCTTCTTCGTCCTTGATGCACTTCACTTGGTCCAAGTCACGCGCCTTTCTCTCTCTCACCTTGGCTAGCCTAAACAGCCTCTTATCCCCGCCTTTACCCTCAAGCTCTTCATATAAATGACTAAATGTTGCAGTCTTAGCCACTGCAACTGCTAACTTCGCCTCCTTCCTAGCCAACTTATACCGCTCCCTATTCAACCTCTTCTCCTCCTCGTCAATGCTTTCAACTAGCTTCAGATACGCTGCTTTCTTGGTGTTCACCTTTCCTTGGACATCTCCATTCCACCACCAGTCTCCGCTGCGACCACCATAGTAACCCTTTCATACCCCTAAAATCTCTCTGGCAGCTTCCTTAATGCACTGCGCCGTCGTGGTCCACATCAGGCTCGCATCCCCACTACTCTTCCATGCTCCCATAGTCAACAACTTAACCCCCAACTCCTGCGCTTTGTCTTTAGTCAAGGCTCCCCACTTGATCCTAGGTTGGCCATACACCACCCTCTTCCTCTTCTTCCTCGTGATCTCAAGGTCCATGACCAGATGCCTATGAAGAGTCGTGAGGTTCTCACTCGGGATGACCTTGCGATCCGTGCAAAGACCCATTGACTATCAAAATCTTGTCTTAAGGTTCTTACTTCAAGTTAGTAACGTAGTATTTCCAAATTTCATTTGACTCTTGGCACCAGAAACCAATAGACTCCTTGTGTTTTCTGTCATTGATAATTTCTCTCTCAGTGCCCCCTCAGTGTTTTGGGATCCTATAAGCTGATTTTCACATAATATTCCTTATCCCGTGTGCTTGAATAATATGTTCTACCACATGCATATGTTGTTTTATGTGTAGTAGAAACTAATATTCTGAATGTCTGAGTTTCGACAATGTTACATTTTTTTTTCCAGTGGCAATTTGGGTATAACTCATGCTTCATAAAGAATCACACACTTGTGTATCTACGACTAATTATGGGGTATGTGTAATTACAAACGGTAGATTCATCTCGTATTTAAGGTTTTACATTGTTACCAATGTATATCTATTTAGCACAATTGTCTGAGCCTATGTTGTTGTTTGTCACCCAGGTTTGCTGGACAATTCCTTTGCAGTTATAGCACCTTGCCACTCTATGCTCTGGTTACGCAGGTATATGTCACACTGGATATATAGCTAAATTGAGAAGTCAGAATTAAGTATGATATTCTCTTTAACTTTCCACTTTGTATAACATTACATCTCTGGCGACATGGTTAAATTCCTTCCAAAACAGTTAAACTTGGTTAGAAGACAAAACTGCTCCGGTTAGACTTTTTCCCCCTCGTCTTTCTTCCTCTTTATTTATTTATTTATTTTTTTTAAATTTTGATTTTCAATTCTAGTTCTTTTTTCTTCTTCCACATGACAAACAAGCTCTGTAATTGGGAGACAGCAGAGACTGGAGTAGGTGAGGAAAAAGGGGGCGATGGCGGAGGGGTAAGGGTAGGGGCTTTTCTTTTTTCTATTGTTTTAGGTATTTGTTAAATCATGAAAGGTTATTTTCTGTCTAAAATGTTGTACTTCAAAGTGGCAACGGATGTCCAGAGATCAAGGTAATCGTCCTCATAAAATCTTCTTGGTCATCCTAAAAGGTGGTAAAAGTGAACAATTGTAAACATTAAACTTTATAAACTACTGCGCGACCTGGTTCACTTTCCTAATTACATCCATGATTCAAGCGTGATTCTTAGCTCATTTTGCTTCCAAAAGGACTTGAAGATAAACCAAAAAAATGATTGTGACGGCCAACAGTCTGAGTTATTAAGCTGCGCCTGACGTTCATTTTTTCCTGTATCTTTATGTGTGTAATTCATGGCTGAAGAAAGGAAAAGGTCTATAATTTGTGATCTAGTTTAGGAAGATGAATGGCGCTGAGGTTAAAGGTAAAAAAAATTGTATAACACAAGGATGACGAGAGTTTAATTCTTGTGTTTTCTAGTTACCTTGCATTCTGAACAAGTCTCTAGGTCATATTTGCATCTGACATTTCAGATTTAGATGTACTGCTCTTCTGCTGTGGCCTGTGAAGTAAACTCTTTATTAATTCTTCTTTTCTTTTTAAAAAAGAATTCTTTTCTATCTTCACTAAACTTTGTGATGTCTACATGTAGTTCATCATGTTAGTCTTTTACTAATGGAAGGTGAAGCTTGAAAAGTAAATTCTGTTTTATAATACTTGTCTGCATTGTTAATTTCTGGCCATTTAGCATATGATCTAATGCCTGTCAATGCAATTCACCTTGCTAACAACCTATGTTGCTCAGACTCTCCCAAAATGTTGCGGGGCACGTGTCGGATCCTCCAAATGCAGTGTATTTTTGGAGGATCCGACACGGTTGCGACATCATTTTGGAGAATCCGTGTCTGCACGTTGCACATCCTCATTGAACTTCCGAATAATTTTAATGGACTAATACACGAGCTTGTAGTTCATATTTTCACTATCCAAGAACAAAGCTTTGAGCATGTTATACTGTCTCCTTTGCAGATGGGTACAAACTATAAGGCTGCATTGATTCCACAGCGAATAAGAGAAACGATCCATGGATGGGGAAAGGCAGCAAGAAGGAAAAGGAGGATGCGCATGTTCCCAGATGATTCAACTGTGCGCACTGATACAAGCACAGTGATTTCACTCGAGGAATACGATGACCAGTTGGTTGATAGCCCTCGAACAGTGCACGGTGCAGGTACTGAAATTGAGCTACAGCCACCGACAATTGTCACGGAGGATCATCATTCAGTAACAATTAACGAAACTTCAAGTCGTGTTGGTACTCCTCTCCTTCGGCCCTGTGCCTCTATTTCTTCCACAGCTTCCCCAAGTTTTCCACCTGAAGTATTAGCAAGATCATTTTCAATGCCTGCTAGAGGAGATTTGGGTAAAGATTAACCCGCCACAGTAAAGTTGGAGAACAACGCAAAATGGAATTGGTGTTATTACATTTGCAGGTTGTTTAACTTGGCATATAACAATATACTTGGAAAATGTTTACATGTGAATGTGTATCAAAGAAAATCTGCAGGTAGTAAAGGATAGTTTTTATAGTTACAAAAATATTTGGTCTCAAACGCTTTATATACCGCTGTTTCTCTATGTAAGTTTCCCTTGTATAATCAGTTAGACGCATGGGATGGCTAGGAAAGATGGAGCACCTTAAAGCTTGTATTGCTTATTTTTTTCCCTTAAATAGTTAACAATTCAACTTATATACAATGGCAGTTTAAAGAATTTTTACATTTTCAGTGTATTTTAACCTGTTGCAGAAGGTAATTTACCTTATTTTTATGGTTACTAATTTCATTTTTTTTGGATGGTTACATACTACTTCGACAATTTGATAGTGTAAAACTCTTTTTATACTGTCACTATATAGAATAGAAGTTAAACAGGAGACAAACTGGAGATACTATGGTTCAATTGGACTTTCAAGCTTGTATTTCACATTCAAAGAGACTACAAAGTAGGAGAACCAGTACATTCTATTTTTTAAGGATGCTTAGAGACATGCATCTTTATTAACGAAGGTGACATTACTAGTAAAGACTAAAGCAATGGCCTATGCAGGTGTCAGCTTAACTGCTCCAAATTAGTCATGTTTCTCAAAATTGGGCAACACTGCTTTCTTCCTGTTTCCATTTTCATGATCACCAGCATCCTGTTTTTCCTTGTCAGCCTGCTTTGCATTTCCAATAAAACAGCCAAAACCTGGTGGCTGACATCCATAAGGGCAAGGATATTGGATTGGTGGAGTTGGGCAATTGCATCCTCCACCAGGAACACCAATTACAGGGGTGGGAATCCACCCTGGAATTCCTGGTTGGTTACAATTTCCACTTCCACAAGAGCCACCGTAGCCGCCGCCTCCTCCACCACCTCCTCCTCCGCCTCCGCCTCCTCCACCAGGAACACCAATTCCAGGGGGAATATACCCTGGAATTCCTGGTTGGTTACAATTTCCACTACCACAAGAGCTTCCATAGCTTCCGCCACCTCCTCCTCCTCCTCCACCTCCACCTCCTCCGCCTCCTCCTCCTCCGTTGTTATTGCCATCGCTTCCCCAACCCCAACCGAAGCCTCCACCACCGCTTGACGGTTTTGTCACTCCATTGGGGTTTTGGGTGTTTTCTGGTTTATCGGCTTTTGTGGGTTCCAGGAGGACTCTATGAGCAGAGCCAAGGCTTAAACTTATGAAGAGCCATAAAATTAAGGGAATACATTTTTGAGAAGCCATTGTGGCGATACTGAATTGGAAATGCTTCTTTTGCATGAAATCCCAAAGGACAGATCATCTCTACTTATAGCTAGCTAAATGCATGCCAAAATTCATCTTGAAAGAAACACCCTTGACATTGCTCGACCATTACGGACTCATCAACCTTGCATGGATACAAAATAGTGAGAGCTATATTGCCGCTAGTCATCAACCTTCCCTATATATATACTAAATAGTCTCTCTGCACGTGTGTTGCATATATATTTTATATTTTTTTATAACAAATCCACTCGTGTTATGTCAAGATAAAGTTAACTTTTCCATGCAAAAAACTAAGCATAACTTTGAAATATAAAGTTGTAATTTGTAAATACATAATTTTTGAAGAAAATGTGCGAGTAAGAGGACTAATGATGAGCTTGAGAGAGATGTCGCATCACAGATTTTAGAACCAGCTTTATATAGATAGATTACAATGACAACTCTTCAAAGCCAAAAGTTCAGAGAAGTTTTCTTGTGTGACTCACACAATTGACATTAGTTGTGTGAGGCTCATTTTTGTCTCGCAAATTTGTGGACCCCAATGTTACATTTCTGGGTCCACAAAATTGTGAGACCAAAAAGATGCCTCATACAACTAGTGTCAGTTGTATGACACACAAAATAAAATTTTCCAAAAGTTCATGAGCTTATAAAAAGTTTCAGAAATATAGCATTAAAATCATTTCTCATGACTGTACGAACTCATCAAATTTGACAGCTAAAAATAGAGTTTAGTTATTTTGATGAATTGATGGGTTTATCATCTTCGATAATAATGTTCTATCTTAATCAATTACAATTAAGTGACTAACTTGCACATGTTATGCATTCTAAACTTAGGCAAGAATCAAGAGCTCTATAAGTTTTCAGAACTTAATGGGGGAAAATAAAATACTACACCTCTGTTGTTCTATGTGCTGTCGTTTGGATCAAAGCAACAAAGTAAAAATTTTCAAACTTGACCTCTAATTGAAAGATGAATCACCTATAACGCCTTAGATATATACTTGATGTTTAGTAATCTCCTGTGGCTATAATCATATTTAATGCATATTCATTAAATCGGTAACCAACAAAGAGCAAAAAAGGAAGGAAAAAAATGACAGTATATAATTCTTTTCATATTATTAGAAGAGATTTGCCTTTATTAATAAATACAAAATTTTGCTAAAGCTCAATTAAAGGGGAAAAAATGACTATATGGATCTAAATATACAATTCAATGCATCGATCTATACGTAAAGGTAGAAGGAATTGTTGAAATAGTTATGGTTTGAAAAATAGAAAAGAAAGAGTAGTATTATGATAAAAAGTCACGCAGTAGAAATAGCAACGTGCATTAGAAGTCAACATCCATTTAGAATTGCAGATTCTCTACATATTTCAAATATAAGCCTGGTATTCGAAACCAATTTCATTCTAATCCTAATCTCGCATAACAAGTTCAATTCTCAAAAGTTATTCAAGAAACCGTAAATAAATCAAATCGTAATCAAAATTGTGCAAGAATAGTTGACGGACTTGGAATTATTTTGGAAGCTTTATTTTTAAAATAATATATTAATTAATAGCCAAAATAATAGTGCAAAATAGAATTAAATATTTATGTCCGTTATATTTGGATAAAGCTTTGCTTATCCTGTATAGTAGGACTTTTGAATCTGTGTGTTTGGGTTTCTTCTTGGTTATGTTACTCTTCACTGGTAAAAATTATTGAGAAGATCATCTAAACCAATTACCTTCTTCCTATAGAATACAATTTGAAATAAAAAATATATATATATATAAAAAGGTACTTACTACTACCTTCTTCCTATAGAATACAATTTGAAATAAAATATATATATATATATAAAAAGGTACTTACTGATTGCTTCACGAGTCAACTTTTATTGTACTTTCATTTTCTTTTGTCACTAATTTTAATTGGACAACCCATTTATTGATTTTCTAATGTAATTTAGGAACTAAACGATGGTAATTTTTTGCGGTAACAACTTTAGAAATAAACTATGAAGCGTTTGAAATTTTTTAAATAAATAAGGTATTTAAATTAAATAAAAATGGTCTCTTGATTTTGAGATGTGAAGGAACACATTTGAAAAGGTATTTTGCTAATGTGAAGGATCACAACACTTCAATTCAACAGATCATTTTTTAATAAATAGTTCTTTTCTAATGGCAGATAATTTTTTCAGAAATTAGTTACTAATAAAAGGACACAACTATTAAGAAAAGACACAATATAAATTAATATTTTAAAATATTTTTCAATTATTATTAAAAAATATAAATATATATTATTAGAAGGGTAATTTTGTAATTCAACTTTTTAGTTGTGCGCATATATATA